CCCCGCGTCCACTCATCTCTCTGGTTGGCTTCCCTTTCCAGTTGGTGACACCAAGTATTTGTAGGTCTGTCTGGACGTAATCTCTTTATCGTCTTCTTGGTCTGCCTCGTGGTCTACGACCATTCAGGTCCCTTGTGTATACAGTTTTACCTCTCTGTTATTTGGCCAATCTCTCAATATGCCCAAGCCATTTCAGTCTATTTGCTTTCATGATGCCAGTGATCAGTGGTGAAATCAGATAATGAATTTCGTTGTTGCATCTCACTCTTCATGCCCGGCTGATGGGTCCACAGATTCGTCTAATACTCTGTTTTCGAAAATGTGTAATGAAGCTTCCATCTCTTTTAGCTGTGCTTCAAGTTTCAGAGCCACATAAAACATATTATTATCACTAGTTGAAATATATTTACTTTCTATTCAAAAAAAGTTTACTGTTAGGTACTTAAATATTTGAGCTTCCTCAATTTTTTTTCTTTGTGTCTTGATATCAATTCACACACACACACACACACACACACACATATATATATATATATATAAACACACACACACACATATATATATATATAGTTTTTGACCCATATATATATATAGTGAAGATCAAAATCTCTTCTTAGATTTAAGGGAAAACGATAATAATGTCACAGATAAAACTGGCGGTCACCCAAAAAATTACAAAAAAATGGTGAAGAAATTGAAAATGTCACAAACTTTGAATAGCTAGGCTCTTTAATAAATAGCAATGGAGACTGTTTGACAGAATTAAAAGAAGAATGGCCGTAGCAATGCAAAGATTAAACAGTCTAAAAAGTCTATGGTTAAGCACCAGCAAAGAGATCAAAATTAGAATTTTGAGAGCATGCATCTTCCCTGTAGCAACAAAAGGATGTGAGTCGTGGACTATCTCCCAGTCTTTAAGAAAGAGATTAGGGGTTTTTGAGCTGAAATGCTATAGAAAGATTCTCAGAATATCTTGGACGAAAAAGAGGAGAAATACTGACATCTTGAAAGATCTGAAAATCAAGGAAGATTGGCTAATAAACAGCATCCTGTCTCGGAAGCTGAAATATTTTGGTCATATCAAGCGCCACGACGGATTGGAAAAACAATATAGCAGAAGGCATGGTACCAGGAAGAAGGGGCAGGGGCCGACGAACACGAAGATGGGCACATAATATAAGTGACTCCTAGAGTATGATAGTGCATGAGGCGGGAGAGCTGGCTAGTGACAGAATTTCTTTCAGCCAGACCATGATGAGAGCGACGTTCTGCAAAAGACCTGCTACATGATATATATATATATATATATATATATATATATATATATATATATATATATATATATATATATATATATATATATATATATATATATATATATATATATATATATATATATATATGTATATATATATATATATGTGTGTGTGTGTGTGTGTGTGTGTGTGTTTCAGGACTTCCTCTATCTAATCTATTAAACGATATTTCCGCATTTCTTTTTTGTCAAGCAAGTACTTCCTGCTCGATTGTCACAGCCGATGCCACCGCGCGACGGTTACACTAAGTGGGGTGGGAGATAGCACGTCACACTTGACGCCAGCATTGACCAACATATTCGAACCCAAGGCATGCGTTTTTTTCTGATATAGGAAACAGGATGGAGCTAGTAATCCGGGGTCGTTGATCAACACAGAATCTTGGAGGCTGGGCGGGCCGCTGTCTGCGTGAAGTCATGCTTTCGTTATTTGATTTTCTGTACAGCAGACTTCTCTCTCCAGTTCCGGGTTTTAATACCTTTCTGGGTATCGAGAGAGGAGCGGCTGATCGCACGGTTTAGAACGCTGTGCTCTCATTGCGAAAGACCCAGGTTCTGGGTCAAAACTGAAATCCTTACCTGCACAGTCCGTAACGACGGCACTACCTATGCGGCCCTAAATACTTAGGCTCACAGATCCCCTTCGCCGATTCTGCACCGCAAAAGTTGTAAAAACATGCGGTAATTCGCAGAAGGCCTTCTTGACACCAAAACAAATGTTCTGTACGGTTCAACGAGGTTTCTTGGATTTTCTCCCGATAAAATCGCACCCGAAAAGTTACTATTTAAGACACTGGATGTAAAATTTTCAGGCTTCCTCTTTTGTTAATATCTGATTTTTTAAAAATTTATTTTGTTTAAATTTGACAATACAATGTTTATAACCTTTGTGTCGCAGTTTATTACATAACCGCGGATAGGCAGCCGAACCGGGGAACGCTTAGATGCCTAGTACTAGTATGATGTGGCAACGTGATCTCTTAAGCTGTCACTGACTCCCTCCTTCCAAGTTCTCTCTCTCTCTCTCTCTCTCTCTCTCAATACTGTACGCTCCCAATGACACTGTTGGTTTTAATCTCACTAGGTTTTTATGCTTCACTGAAAGTAAACGTTTTAAAAGCTGCCAGTCTAATAAAATATAGTTTTCTATTTTTTGCTCTTCAGGTCGTCTTGACAGATACTACTGTAGAGTTTCTCTTCCCAACTTGTTCTATTTCGATATAGGATTTACGCATCCCTTCCTCTTAAGTAGTTCACTAAAGACATTTAAGGCAGTAGTTAAACTAATAATACAAACACAAACGGTCCGTCTACGGTGGAATACATCAAAAACATTTTTTTTTTAACATCTTTGGAAACATCAAGAAACATACAATTAATTGTCTGGAACTGAAAGAAAAAAAGTTGATTACATATTCTACAGTGGAAGGTTCAGTGTGCATTACTAAGCCTTAATAAAAGCCACGAAAGAAAATTAACTTTTTGTGACCACGCATCTTCCCTGTAGCAACATTTGGATGCGAGTAGTGGACTCTCACAGTCCTTAAAAAAGAAAATAGCGGTTTTTGAGCTGCAATGCTATAGACAGATTCCCAGAATACCAAGGACAAAGAAGATTTGAAATACTGACATTTTAACAGATCTGAACATCAAGGAAGATTGGCTAATAAACAGCATCTTGTCTCAGAAGCTGAAATATTTTGGTCATTTCAAGCGCCATGGTGGGCTGGAAAAAATAATAGCAGAAGGCATGGTACCAGCAGGGAGGGGCAGGGGCCGACCAACACGAAGACTAGCACATGATATAAGTGACTCCTTGAAGCGGGAGAGCTGGTGAGAGACTAAGTTTCCTTCAGACAGACCCATGAGGAGAGTGACGTTCTGCAAAGGACCTGCCTGTTACATAATAATGAAAGCCATGAACTCATCAAATCCAACCCTGCCCAGCCATGAATGTTTGCTGTGAAAATTGTGTTCTTCTTCTTCTTCTTCTTCTCTTCCACCTTGTACCTCAGTGAAGTGTTGGGGGGAGATGTAATGTTTGTTGATGAGCTCTGTCAAGAGCACTATCAAGACTGATGTTCATTTCTATAAGGCTGTTCTTAATGCCATCACTCCATATTTTCCGAGCTCTTCCACTCGCTCTATACCCGTGTTAACTCTGTCAATAAGCTGTCCATGTGTATTGCCTCAACAACGGTGTGTGTTATTATATCTTCCATGTTTGGTCTGTGTGTACTAATGAAATCTTGGCTAAATACTCTATGATGCAGTCCAGTATAGGTTGTGTCTTTAAACGCTACACACTGATGATTTCACCCTGTGATTATTGTACCACAATAGTTTTAGCTGTGAAATCCACTTGGAAAGAAATAATTAATGAAGGACTACAATATGTCAAACAGCTGTGGGCCTATGCAATTTTTAGAGGTAACAAAATGATCATATATAAGAATTCACTTATTCCTTCTATGACATAATGTCATCACCTGGAATTAACAGGTTTCAAACTTCTGTGCTTGCATAACTTTGGATTCTGTTTTTGTCTAGTGTGTCTTTTTTATTTTGAAAGAAGCTTAATATGACTTTAACAAACACCCGAAGGAGGCAGTCAATTCTTTCCCACCATATTACAGGAATAGAAAAACAGGGCCATGTTGTGTCTATAGGAAAGGTTTATGGAAAGAGAACAAATGAAAGAAGTCATTATATTTTCAATGGGTTGAAAATTAGACGTGCAGACCTGTCTTACATTCTGCCCCTTTGGCCTCACTCCTTACATTCGTTAATCCATTGGCACATTAGTTAGTATTAAAGATAATACACATCATCATCTAAATCGTAGTCACAAGACACCGAGGAAGACAGCAAGAGAAGAACCTTTTGTCATGACATTGGAATATGTCAGTCAACAGACTAATACATGCTGATGCCGATCGTAAAATGAGGAGAAGCTGGGTTGCAAAGCAGTTGACAATGTCTGTGACTTTTAATTTCTAATTCTTTCCTGGGTCTTCTAGGAGTGCCAACGAATACTAGTGAATAAAGGGTTAAGAGTGAATCAATAAAAGAAATGTCTGGGCAACCATTAATATCAACAGTTTTAAGACAGAGAGGGTGGTGCTAGACTGGACACATTTTGAGAAAAGACAAAGAATCACCAAACATCAAAAATGGGAAATTCAGGAAATGAGGATTTTCAAGAGAAACACTGAGGTGGAAGTTGATGAGAGAAGCCATAAGTGCTGCACTGGATTCCATCCATGATATTGAAGTAATTACACAGGATATAACAGAAGGCAGATATAGACTGTGAGCCCTATGTGACATATAATGGCACAACGGGACAATATGTGAATGAGTGAATTTCCTGTGTGGGTTTTGGGGCTCTATTGCGGGGAAAACAATAACGGACCCACTGGCTACCGAAAAGCATGTCTTCAGAGTCAACTAATTGGGAGCTTTCCGCGAGGTCGGAGTGCATATGCCTGAGATTCAAGAAACCAACATTATGCATTCAAATGTCAGATTTGTAAAACAGATGTGCATGCCACACACAGGTTCTAGAACAGGATTACAGTTCAAAAGTGGAAGAACAACCAGAACTTCCCGTCAGCATTTACAGCCCATGAACACGAAGAAGAAGACGAATGAATAAACAGTTTGCAACATTAAGATTACCTACCTTGTGCCTGCCTAAGTAAACCATTGCACTGGCTCCTCTTCCCAAAGAGTCAGCTGTGTTCCAGGTGTAATTCTCTGTGCTCACCAATGTTCCTGCCAGATTAGTGACAGATGCAAAGTTAAATCGTAGATTAAATAATCCATATTACAATTATTTATTTTACAAATGTTTAAATTTGTTAATTATTCATTTAGTTCTACTTGTGTGGGAGCCGCTGTTTTGCTGTGGCTAGATGCGTGCCTGTGGATCCAAAGATCATGGATTCAGGTTCTAACAGAGCAGGACTTTAAAAAAAAAAATGACCCAGCCTTTAATAGGTATCAGATAGAGTCCTGGGAAGTAAAGGTGGCTGGTGTAATGTTGACCACATTACCAAATGAGATGCCGATAGGTCTAGCCCTATATGCCTAATACACATGAAGATGTGGAAGAGTGTCCTTTAGTTTACTTTCTACCAACGTATTAGCTCTTTCAGCCCAGAAGATCACAGATCAAGACTGACTGTGGCAATAATGACAACAGAAGTTCAGATATACAACATCCATAGGAATCAAATACACAGTATCGTGTAGTAGACAGATGTCTTGTTGGAGTAAGAATAAAAGGTAAAGATCCCGTTTCTATGCCTTCAGGCCTATACGGCATATAGGGTTAGCCCTATATTTTATAAGACTAATCGACACTCAGTGGATGATTTGGTCAACATCAGGCCGGCCGCTTTTACTTCCTAGGACTATACCTGGTACCCACACAAGGCTGGGTTGACCTAGGAGCTAAGGTAAGTTTTTTGTTTAAAAATCCAGCTCCGCCAGAAGCCGAACCCATGACCTTCTGATTCGCAGATGGGCGTCCAGCCACTTCACCACAGCTGCTACCAAGAAGTAGTAATAATAATAGTAATAAGAGCTATAAGTGTTGCTCCTTAGTATATATATATATACATAACGCTTATTTACTAGAGGGAAAAAATATAACTGATAAATACAGAAATAACAATTACAAATGCCATGATGATACTTAACTCATAATCTAAAAAAAAGACATTCTCTGACAATAACACTTAACAAAATGTATGTAATAAATGCAGACATAAAAGCATTTATAAACATACTTTGATGTTACCGAATCCAAAATGTAAAGATATTGTTGATTAAAACATAAACAAAGCAACAAAAAATGCCATGTAGTTAATATGTGTGTATGTGCAAGAATTAGTTTGCATATTTGAACATATGTGTACAAACATTTCATAGGCAGCAAAGAGCCTAGCAAGTTATTGAAACTGATGAGAACATACATTAACTACATAAGAAAACCAATACCAACCTTTTATGACCGGGTATGAAGATGTCATCTGATATGATTTTTATCGATACTTCAGAATCATCTGTTGAAAGGGAGTATAAATCCGTTCTGTAGAGCAATAGCACAAATCTGCTAGTGTGTTGAAAAAAAAAATCCCTTCGACGAAGTTTAAATCTCTATTTCTAAAACGTTATGTCCTAAATTTTGCTACTGGACGCAGTGGCTACACGTACTATCACACAATGTTGATTAAACTTATTTACAACGTATGTATGTTCTATACCATTAATCAAATATAAATAAATAAAGTTCACAACACTAAAATACTACAATGTTACTTTATGATGTGTAATACGGATTACAGTTTATGTAGCCTTGATAAACACAGGGCTCTCTAATGTCATGCATGTAATTTTGCCAAGTATTAATGAACTACTATAGCTGAGAAATTTGTGAATACGAAAATCAGTAAATGATGAAACACTACTATGAACAATGACGAGCTGATATCTCCACCAGTCAATCCAAGGGAAATAAGTTTTCCGTGGTCTGATAGGTCTAATAAGATGCCGAAATATTGCATCTGTATCGGCAGAAAAGTTGCTTCTGCTAGGTAGCATTGACTCCGATGACACTTCTATGCAGATCATGGGGCCCACTATTTAGGTCGAGTTGAAGGCTTCCTTCTACGAAATGTCTGAAGCTGGTGGCAATGAATCATGGCACTCAGGTATTTCTGTAAAGAATTAAAAAACAATTCTGAGAAAACAGGAAAAATGTCATCACCAACAATGGTCTATAGATGAAATCATTATCTAGGGTTTAAGTGTTGTGAACATACTTCATAATTATGAAATACCTGGTTCGTTTCAGCAGAGGCAATTTGGCAGCAGATCCCTTTGTGTTGATTTCATCGATCGTATGGCACACCGACTGTTCAGAAAGCAGTGGCAAACTACTAAGCTTAAACTGCCTACAATAATAAAACAGTCTGACAAATGCTGGGATTGGTTGTACAATGTCAATGATCCACAACTAACTTTTAAAAATCACCTAGTGAAAAGCTCATAAGCTTAGATGGCTCTTGCTAGAAGAACTGTGAAAGTGGGCTGTACTCCCTCTGCCATGACTAACTCTGTCTGCCATGACTAACTCTGTCTGCCATGACTAACTCTGTCTGCCATGATCAACTCCGTCTGCCATGATCAACTCCGTCTGCCATGATCAACTCCGTCTGCCATGATCAACTCCGTCTGCCATGACTAACTCCGTCTGCCATGACTAACTCCGTCTGCCATGATCAACTCCATCTGCCATGATCAACTCCGTCTGCCATGATCAACTCCGTCTGCCATGATCAACTCCGTCTGCCATGATCAACTCCGTCTGCCATGATCAACTCCGTCTGCCATGATCAACTCCGTCTGCCATGATCAACTCCGTCTGCCATGATCAACTCCGTCTGCCATGATCAACTCCGTCTACCATGATCAACTCCGTCTGCCATGTTCAACTCCATCTGCCATGATCAACTCCGTCTGCCATGATCAACTCCGTCTGCCATGATCAACTCTGTCTGCCATGATCAACTCCGTCTACCATGTTCAACTATGTCTGCCATGATCAACTCTGTCTGCCATGATCAACTCCGTCTGCCATGATCAACTCCGTCTACCATGACTAACTCCGTCTGCCATGACTAACTCCGTCTGCCATGATCAACTCCGTCTGCCATGATCAACTCTGTCTGCCATGACTAACTCCATCTGCCATGATCAACTCCCTCTGCCATGACTACAAGTACTCTTAATATGAGCAACAACAAAAAACACCCCAAGCTTCACAATTCCTGATGACAACACTGGCCATGTGACCCTAAATCCACATGCTCAAGATCACTGTGTCCTATACTGCTCTAGAAAGTGGTGATTTACACGCAGTAAAAGTTAAAGAAGAGAAAGAAGTCTCTCTGGAGGTCATGAGAGAAACTAAGACAACTGCCTCACTACAGGCACAGACCTTCGCTGGGGTGTTTTCTCAGTGACTCCAGTAGTATTCCCAGGAAGAACGAGATTAGTCCCAAGAAGCTGTTATTTTAAGGTCTTCTATCCCAAGGAGTTATACTTAAAACTTATGTCTGAAGGAGTTCAATAAAGATAACTATGAGACTATGTTAAACTAATAACAATTCAGATATACAAGGTTACTGAAACAGCGATATCTGATAGAAGACAGCTTAAAAACACATTATTGGAATAGCAAGTGAATGTAGGGAGCGCTGTTTGGTACTGAGTGAGTTCAACTTTGAGATATGCTCAATGCAACAACAAAGTTAAACTATAACTAATTATATATGTTTAAATGTTTTCAGAAATAAAACATACATTTATACCAGTCAACTGTGAAAGCAAGAAATGTAGGTGTAAAACCATAAATGAAGTAACTGAGGAAAAAGATCTGCAGTAAATCTAATGGGAAAATAAACCCCATTAAATGAACAAAATCTTTGATGTTTCAGAAATGGAACAATAGCCATAGAACTATTCCCCTACTGTTTAATGAGACTGAAAGGCAAATCAACACAGAAGTTAAACAATACACCAGAAGATAAGGACAAAGTGGATTCACAGAAATACATCTGGATTTAAAGGAAAATATTGTGCTATATAGGAAGTTCATTAAAATAAACAGGATTTCAACACATGCAGATCTGTTTAAGGTAATGAAAGCATGATAAGAGATGATTCAGCAAAGGAAACAAGATAGTATGGTAGACATTCAAGGATACTAAATATGTTCTCAACTAAATTTAGACAATGAAATTATAGAAAACACTGACAACTAATTTTTGTTAAACATTAACTGAAATGGGTGTAACCTTTCCTTTCAGTATACAAGTCAGACCAAGAAGGGATCATGCTGTGTGGGAAACACCATAGCTTACAATACTGTCCAGGCTTCATGCTATGGAGAGGAGGCATTTTAGCCCTGGCATTACCACTTTTTATGGTGGTTTAGATAGGGGTAAATAAGCCTGAGGATTTAGGCCGCATGGTTTGTGCTGTTGCCACAGACTGTGCAAGTTAGGATGTTTAATTTTTTCCCCCAACAGAAAAACTTTATCACCTTCCTGGGGGGTCGAACCCGGGTCTCCTGCGTCAGAGCTCACCACTGTAACTGCTTTACTTTCTTTATAATCACATTAATGCATTTCAACGAGACAGCCAAACCACTTGACCTCCTGTTTCTCGATTAATTTAGTACAAGGTGTCGATCCCAAGATCAGTCTGAGTATGATTATTAAATCAATCTCGGATGATTAGGTTGGTGGGTTTTCTTAGCCATCTCATTTTGCAGATGGTGATATCAAAGCCTAATCAAACTAAATCCCAATAGTGCTGGAAAAAAAGAGAGTTTGTTTTCACTTCGAGGTGAATTTATAAAGTCCACCAGAACTTGTAGGTCAAAACTGTGTAAAATAGGTACCAGACAATGTTGTGGGAAGTAAAGATGGCCAGCATGCTGTTGAAATAAAGAGACAGTAACAGCATGCTGTTGAAATAAAGTGACAGTAACAGCATGCTGTTGAAATAAAGTGACAGTAACAGCATGCTGTTGAAATAAAGTGACAGTAACAGCATGCTGTTGAAATAAAGTGACAGTAACAGCATGCTGTTGAAATAAAGTGACAGTAACAGCATGCTGTTGAAATAAAGTGACAGTAACAGCAAGCTGTTGAAATAAAGTGACAGTAACAGCATGCTGTTGAAATAAAGTGACAGTAACAGCATGCTGTTGAAATAAAGTGACAGTAACAGCATGCTGTTGAAATAAAGTGACAGTAACAGCATGCTGTTGAAATAAAGTGACAGTAACAGCATGCTGTTGAAATAAAGTGACAGTAACAGCATGCTGTTGAAATAAAGTGACAGTAACAGCATGCTGTTGAAATAAAGTGACAGTAACAGCATGCTGTTGAAATAAAGTGACAGTAACAGCATGCTGTTGAAATAAAGTGACAGTAAAAGAGCTAGTGGTGTAGCTGCTTGCCTGCGGACAAAAAGGTTGCAGGTTTAAATCCAAACGAAGGCAGACTTTAACAAAAAATTGTTAATGACCCTGGCTGCTAGGTCAACCCTGCCCCAAATGGGTACTAGATAAAGTCCTAGGAAGCAAAGGTGGCCTGTGTGACACTGACCATATCTCCCAAAAAGTGCAGATTGATCTAAAAAATATAGGTCTAGTCCTATATGCCCAATAAGCCTGAAGGTGTGGAAAGGGTCCTTTACTAAAGCTATGAAGGTCTGGAAAAGATTGGAAAATTATAAAGTATATGTCAGCTTTACAGGTCCAATAACAACAGACAAACAAAAGATGTTGTGGTAATTAGCCTTCATCATCAAAATAACAGTGAGAAACAAAACAAAACACACACAGAAATTAAGGGACTGAATGTGATATTTACCTTGACCACTTTGAATTTTATAAAGGAAAGAAATAATGCTGCTACTGCTCTTACAAACAGGGAAACGGTTGGTGAAATATGAAGAGGGGGAGTTAAGAGTTTGAGAAAGGGGATTGCCGACCATGGCATTAAGAAGGGAACAAACCAAAAAAAGACAGGAATGGGAATGGGTGTGTAAATAATTTATGAGATGTGCACAGAAAAGGCATGAATGAAGATTCCTTTACAACCTGTGAATATCTAACAGTTCTGACTGGTCAAGGTGCTATGGGGGTCACTAAATGATAATTTGTGAACATAAAGAATTACAATAAATGGGGCTGGTACAGTTAAAATAAAGAGAGAAAGAGACCAATGCTGATATGTATGTTTATATATAAAATCAGACAAATAAAGATCTTGTTATATATTTTTTTTACTGTAAGCTATATAACAGGACTCTTTTCCACGCCTTTAGGCATAAAGGGGTAGAACAATATTGTATACACCAATTGGCACAAGATGGGTGGTGTGGTCAGCATCACGCCAGCCACCTTTACTTCCAGGGACTGTACTCGGTACCCCCAAGGCTAGGTGACCTGGGA